GAGGAGATATGACGTTCCAAAACGACATAACTCCGCGCGGAGATATGACGTTCCAAAACGACAGAACTCCCCGCGGATATGACCTTCCAAGTCGCGCGGAGATATGACGTTCCAAAACGACATAACTCCGCGCGGAGATATGACGTTCCAAACGACAGAACTCCCCGCGGATATGACCTTCCAAGTCGCGCGGAGATATGACGTTCCAAAACGACATAGCTCCGCGCGGAGATATGACGTTCCAAAACGACATAACTCCTTCCAAATCATCATGTTCCAAAACGACAGAACTCCTTCCAAATCATCATGTTTTTTTTTTCAAAATCAAGCTCGGTGCGAAATCGAAACTTTTTCGATGATTTTTTTTAATATCTCGGGTAAATAGTGTTCCAAAACGACATAACTCCGCGCGGAGATATGACGTTCCAAAACGACATAACTCCCCGCGGATATGACCTTCCAAGTCGCGCGGAGATATGACGTTCCAAAACGACATAACTCCGCGCGGAGATATGACGTTCCAAAACGACGGAACTACCCGCGGATATGACCTTCCAATTCGCGCGGAGATATGACGTTCCAAAACGACATAATTCCTTCCAAATCATCATGTTTTTTTTTCATCATCATCGATAAGGGTATATTGTATTTGTGCAAAATCCAAATGTATCTAACAGGCAGAAGGAAGCATCTCCGACCCTATAAAGTACATATACGGGGGAGGGTTCAGGGTATCCCCTAGTCGGGAGCTCCCGACTAGAACCTCTTACTTGTTTTTTATATATTTTTGCATAAATTAACCCTTTTTTGTACATCAACAGGCATGCGTTTTGGACTTGGAGTCTAACCAAAAGTTGAAGCCGCTAAAGAGCTAAATATTTAGGGATCTGAAAGTATGAAAAATACTTTTGAAGCGTATCAAATTATTAAATAAGAAAAAATAATTAAATAATAAATTATCTTTTTAATTTATTCCGCAAAAACAGCTTAAATATGAGACTCATTTGACAGTTAAAAAATTAACATAAAATAATATAAAATAAAAAAATTTGTCATAAAATATGTGACAGATAATTAATAGCATATCTTTGAAAATATATCGAGAATATGTTTGAAATATTTTTTATTTAAATTTTTGGAATATGAAACCACAAATTATGAATATGTTAATTAATTATTATTAAATTATTTTATACATATTAGAAAAAGTGTTTGATCAGATATTCTAAACTATGTCTAAATATAATTTAAATTACTTTAATTTAATTATATATTTTAATTTGAAATTATATATGGAAATCAAATAATTTGATATGTAACACTCCGCTGGAAATGTGTTGCAATATGCCCCAGAGAGAAGCGTGTAGCGCCTATGGCAAAGTTATTAAAGCGTAAATTCGAGACTATTATGATTATGTAGATCTCCCAGTACCCTATGCGTATATTGTTTTAAGCTTTGGTGCGAGGTTCACACTATAACAAAAAAAATTAGTAATGTCTGCTGTTGTTGTTGTTGTTTTTTATAGTGTTGCTCGCATTTAGTTTATTGTTGCTATTTCGCCAGCTGGCTGAGTTCAATGACTAATTTATGAAAGTTAGCCTGACTTGGCTTTTATTGGGCATGAGCCGGAAATTCCAAATGCGCCTCTCCGCCTCTCTCTGGCACCGCACCAGGCAGGGCACCACGCTTGAGGAGCGCGCTTGGGCAAATATCAAATAGTTAACATCAATTGCCGGTTATCTGAAAATTGTAACAAGAAGTTGCAACTGCTTAGCTGCAAGAAATTCAAAAGCAGCCGACAAGGACTTTTCCGGGAAAGGCGGACGATGGCTTATCTGCGGTCGGATTTTCATGTTGACATGTGAAATTTCGCACGCACTTGTTGCGCGTTGCAAGTTGCACGTTGCCTGCGGCTAACCAGGACGCTAATCAGCCTGAAACTAGGTGCCGCCTGTGACGTTGGCTTTGGGCGTGTGCCGACACAAGCCGTGTCCAGGATATCCTGTGCTTCTGCACCTTATCAAAAACCTGAATGCCGCCTAATGTCTTGCCCATTGCCCAGCCTTCTGCTGCCCGACGAATTCATGTGGCAATTGAACGCCCCTAATTGAGCCATAATGTCCGCATCCCAAAAATGATATACATAGATGTCCATTTGGTGCTCTGCTTTGGCATTTGCCGACTCGTCCGACTCGCCGACTAAATCAATTTTTATGTCGCACTTTGCAGTTAATGTGGAGCGCCGACACCGGTCACATGCGCCACACTTTGGGGCAGCCAACAGTCAACAGCCAACAGCATTGACTCGTCCACGTACATTAAATATGCATCAAAAATTGATGATGATGCATTTTTAACGATTCGACAAAGATTTTTATGTCATGCATTTGACAAGATTCGACAGTCGCACAATGCGACCGGACTGACGGATTGCCACGATGATCCATGAATGCCCATACGCGATCCATGCCAGCCCCTGGTTCTTATTGTTGTTGTTGTCGCTGTTGTTTGTTGTTGTTGTTTGTCTGGAGCCTCAATTGGATTTTGATGGCCTTTTGATAAATTCCCTTTTTCGTCTTGAATTATTCGATTGTTAAAGGTTTCTGTTTTATTGTGATTTGTTTTCAATGAGAACGCCCCCGCAACAAGAACAACACAGACAGACAGCTGTGTGTGTGTGTGTGCTTAGTACATGTCAACGCCGCTGGGTGGCGCTATACAAGCAGTTAGCCTCGTCGCGATGGCTCACACGCTGCGCGTCGCCATGGACAGGTCGTAATTATTTTTGTGGCCAAATTGAATTGAATTAAATTGTGAATGTGAAGCAGAAGCAGTTGCAGAAGAGGAAGAAACATCAGCAGCAGCAGCAGCAGCAGCAGCAGCAGTAGATGAAGCCAAAGCAGCGCACAAATGAACAACGAACTTTTTGGCCACAGTTGAGCGATTCTTGGGTGTCGTTGTCGTAGTTGTTGTTGTTGACGTAGTTGTTGTTGTTACTGTTGTTCTTGTTGTTGTTGTTGTTACTGTTTTGTGCTCATCGTCACTAGCCAGTGACGCCGCGGCTCACTTGCACCTGCACAATGACGACGATGACGCTCTACACCGAGACGACGTCGCCTAAGTATCTTTCCCAGTTTCTGTTGCTGCTTGGAATTGTTGTTGTTGTTGTTGTTGTTGTTGCTGTTGCTGCTTGGTGTTGCTGCTTGGCGTTGCTGCTTGCCATGCCCAACTACACACTTCCAGCCAACAGGCAACAGCCATCAGCATTCGTGGCCACTGTCACTGTCAAGCGTAATCATAATTTATTGTAATTATTTTGTATTATTTTTTAAAATTGTTTTAATGAGTCGTCGCCATCGTCGACTTCTCCTTTGCCTTCGCCTGCGCCGATCTCCAGCGTCTCCGTTGACGCTTCTTCGACTGTCGCTGCGATCGTTTTGGATTTTTACCTGATTTTTTTCCTTTTTTTTTTTTGTTTTGTATTTTTTATTTCAACAGCATGAATCCAACAACGTTGTTCAGTTAATTTTACCGCAGTCACCTCGATCTGCCAGTAATTACATTATAGATACCAGTACGTATTTCCATGTTATGATTACCGTTGTTTGCCAGCAACACAATAACAACAACAACAACAGCAACAACAACAATTGCTGTAACGACACTTTTCTGGCATTTTGTCAAACGAAATTTCATAATCGGAAGTGTTAGCTCCGTCGACTGAGTGTGTGCGTGTGTGTGTGTGTGTGTCTCTTTGAAGGTATGCCTTATTCGACTGCGATTACCGAGTACTTTTAATGAGGCTCAATTATTGAAATTTCTCAAATGCAACGGTGCTGTAAGAAATTAACTTCCCTACAAGTTGTTTTAAGCTATGGTTTCCATGCCGTTTGCGTGCTTTGCTGTTGTTGTTGCTATGAAAAGACAAGGGAAATGATTATCTTTCAATAAAACGCACAGATTCCACATAAGTTCCACAATTGCGAAATCCTTTCAACTATTTGTGGCGCTTACTGCTGTGCATCTATGTGGCATGTGAGAAAAAGACAGGGGAAACAATATGTTTAAGCCAAATATATAGCTTCCACATTTGCAATATCTTCTCTTATTATGGCAGATGCTGTGTGGAAAAGACTAGCGAATAAATTGTGTTGTATTTCAAGCACAGATTTACCATATTTACCCAATTACAAATTCGAATAATAATATATTCGGCAAGTGTTATTAATCTGTGTGCACAAGTTTAGGGTAAAAACGATCGTACAAGCTATTCCCTGGAATTAAATTCTAATGTACTCTGAAGTCCTTGTGGAGCTTATGTGGAACTAGTTTCAATGCAAAATATATTGATGATTATCACATAAAATTTACTAATTGCCTTTGATCTGTAAGGTATACGTTAGCTATATTTTTAGCACGAATTCTTTTTCGTTGTCAAATGTGGAACTATTTGGATATTAATGTAAAGAATTGTTAATTGTACACAAATAAAGCGCTTTCAGTTAAAATACGACATTTGACGGCAAGTGAAAGTCATACGGAGCATGTCCGCCCTATGAGTATTATGTACCCAGATAAACTATCGTACACACACACACACACACACACACACACACACAAACAGACATATCCGCATCCCTGTTGCCATTGGGCAAGTGCTGACAGTTTTAGATGCTGACGTTGTCGCATTGCTCAAATGCCTCCGACATTGCTGCACGTTGTTGGGCACCTGTTGATCTTATGCAAATATCAAATAGTTCTACACTGAACAATAAGATCCCTTACAAAATCCACAACGCAAGTACACATGTTCTTTTTGATAAGCGCGAGTATTTTGTTGTTTTCCTTTTTCTTAAATCTTTTGTTTGAACTTTATCAGAAGAGGCTTGCGTGTATAGCGGCTGCCGCAGGGCGGGGGTGTCTCCGTATTTGTGTGTGTATTTTGTTGTGTTGTGCTCTTAAAGATTTCTCGCTTTGATGTGGGCTGTGACGATAAGATAGTATTGTGCACGGAAAGCAACGCATGCCGTACCACCAGTGGGGGCGATGATTGTTAGGCGCAGGCTCAGCCTCGGTCGCAGTCTCGGTCGCAGTCGCAGTCGCCGACGCGGAGTCAGTGTCAGGGCTAGTGGCAGTGCATGCCAAAGCCATGAGGCTGATTTCCAAGAATAAGTTGTGATTTCGTTCAAATAGTTGGTAAGTTGCCCGCCCGCTCGACCAAATAACAAATATCTTAGAAAGAACGCACAACAGTCACAATCAAATACAATCCAAAAAACATTCTGTTTACATGCTGATAATGGAGTCTGTCAAATGTCTAAAAGCCACAAGATGTGGCCTGAAGTAAAGTCAATAATGGGGCGACTCGGAGGCAACTAAGCATAGTTTGGAGGCTGTAACTGCATCTTTAGTTATCAGTCAATAATTGTATCTAAATATCCCACTTTTGCTGAGCATAGATACAGATATATGTATATTGCATCTGCAGCATATTAAGAATCTGTATTTGCATTTATATCTGTAATGAATGTCTACTTGTATCTAAATAAAAGCCTGTATCAGCATCAATATCTGTAAATATGTCTGAATTGGTTGTTTATGAACAAATCTGTATCTGTATATCTTGTGTATATACCATGACTTTTTATCAGTTTTTATAATAAGCTTGAATATGCATATATATCTGCATATGTAAATGTATCTGTATCAATATCTGGGTTGCATGCTTGTGACTAATATGGGTATCTTTATCTATAAATGACAATATCTGCATCTTGCAATCTTTTTATGTAAAAGTAAGCCTAGTTGTATATGTAACTATATTTGAAGCTATATTTATCAGCCTTATTCCACCTGTATCTTTCTTTGTATTTGTATGTGTAGCTATTGCTTTGAACGAATCTGTCTATAAATGTGCCTGTTTATTAAGCTGTATCTGTATCTATGTCCGAATCTGAATCTGTACCCGTATCTATGGTAGCAAATGTATTCTTAGCAGTAGTTGGAAGAAGTTGATATTCCACTTAAATATTACTTACAATGGACTGAAATACTTCTGTCTTTATTTCTTGGCTTTTTTGCAGCTATTGTTATCTCTGCTTCCTCCACATTTTTGCTTTATTTACTCATGATTGTCGCCATCGTCGTGCTGGGCTCATTATTTTTATGGCTCTTTGTGCCCAGCGTTTCCACTAAAAGTGATCTAAATCTATTGACTGAACTCCCAGAGAGCCTCCAGTCCCCGCCGCCAACCCAAAGCACTTGTAGTCGTAGCTGCAGCTTCTGCTGGTGCTGGCCGCCACCTGAGAACCTGGCAACAAGCGAATGGCTTGCTATAATTTTTATGACGCTTTATGCTGCCGCATTTCTGGCTAACTATTTATGCCAGCAGCAACAGCAACAGCAACAACAGCATTCACTTATATTTTTATTGTTATTCATGCATAATGCCAAAAAGATAAATAACAAATAAATTTCTTACTATGAGTATGTACTCTGAGCCCACTTCTAGCTCTCCCAGTTCAGTTCCACATCCACTCCGCCCAACACTCTGCGGTAATTATTAATAAATGCTGCTGCTTTTGGCTTTCGTCTGCGCCTCCTCCGCTCTCTAATAATATTCACGCTTGGCTAAACATTGAAGAAAACTTAAAGACTCTGGCGACGACGACGGCGACGGCGACTCGAACTGGAACTAGAACTTAGACTGAGTCTTTAACTGAGATACAGTGAATAGACCTCGGTCTGGGTCTAGGCCTGGGCCTGGGCCATGCCCTTAACGTTGCGACCGACAACCAACAACCAACAACCGACAACCAACAACCGACGACCAATTGTCTTTTGGCATATTTTCAAGTTGAACGCTCGGCAATTTTTTTTTTTGTTTTTATTTTATTTTTTTTTTTTGCTCTCTCTCTCTCTCTGCTTCCTTCTACCATTTCTAGAGATTTTCTAGTGCGATTAAGCGAAAAACGAAACAGTCTCATAAAAAATATCGCTGTGGCTCAGCGCCTGCCTCTAACTCTATGTATGTGTGTATGTGTGCGTGTATTTGTGGATAACAATCAAAACTCAGCACATACATAAAAATTAAAAAAATGGTGGCTGTTATTGCGTTGTCGTTAGGCTTGGGCTCAGATCTCAGAGCAAATTGAAGTTACCTGATGTTATATGTGCCTGCAAAGTTCAATGGCAAATTGCGCCGTGGATTGCATGTGGACTCTATTGCGTGATCAGCTTTGTTGCATTTATTTTGTATTTTGTTGCAAACTGGTCGATAATTCTATTTGGATTGGATGCGGATTGGAGTGCATATGTAAGTGTTATATATATTTATTGTTTTTATTCAACAGATCCATTTTCCAATAAGGAATTGCACGTGGAACACATTGTGGAAACTTATAGCTAGCGAGTATTTCCTTAAAGTTTTCACCCATTTCGCCCAGCAGAAATATTAAAGTGAGTTGCCATTTCCACCTCTCTATCGTTAAATCGCTTAAAATTGCAATTCACACAGAAATGATCAATCGGATAACAAATTATATATCTACATATATAATAAATATATTAACAGTTATGCTGATGCCCAGAGGCGTGGATTTTCCGCAAAACATGAAACATGTATACAATACATATTCACAAAGTTATTTTAATTTGAAGCGCATTGATTGTCAGTCAGCCAATGATGCAGGAAAAAGCACGTATATTATGAATAATGTAAATATGTGGATTCTAAATGAAACGAATGTAGAATAAACTCAATATATTTCAGCCTTCTAACTTTCAATAAATTTGTTTTTTTTTTCGCAAAAACTGACTGCTTGAATTGCCAGCTGATGCCCTGTTGCATATGAAACCCATATTGATCAGTTCAAGAACCTATAAGGATAACTCTGGCACATATCAAAGCTAGCCTGTCAGCTGCCAAGAGCGAGCAACGCTTCAATAACTCAGCCGGAATCGTGTTCACCCCTTTGTGCGTGCCACATACCAAATGCAAATGCAAATTCATGGGGCACGCTCTCTGGGCCATGGCTGCTTTGACTGCTTTGCATATTGACATCATCATTTTGCCGAGACGACAAACTGTCAAACAAAACAATTGCTGTCAAATTTACTACAATGAGCCGGGCGCTGAAAGCGGCCAAAGGAAGTGAGATGAATAAAAAGCCAAAATATGGGAGAAATAAAAATGCTCGATAGAAAAAAATTGAGCTGTCAGTGTTTTTCTGTTTTCTCCCTCACTTTATGGGGGAGCAGGCCAAGAAGCAATTTCGACATATCAATAAATTTTTGACAATTTCTGTAAGGCAAGACAGAGAGACACATAGGAAACCGAAAACGTAGAAACACCTTTTCAATAAATTTGCTACAACTGTCAGGCGAAACAATGTCATTGTCACGGCGCTGCCGAGTTGCAGGCGAACTGACTCGACCTATAAACCTGTCACTGGCTGCGGCTCGCACTGGAATTGAAGGCATGCGACGGTCCCTGGGTCGGGCCCGGCGATGACAACGACAACGACAACGACGACATTATTGTCGCTAAACAAACGATCAAATGGCAATTTAAAAGTTTTTATTTAACACTAAATCACCCACACTCCGGCACAAATGAGACGCCATCAACCGCTGAAGTCCCACCACCTTACCATCCCACCAGCCCATGAGCCACTGAGCCCACTTCACCCTTTTGGCGGGTGGCCACCTGACGCGAGCGCTTTCTTTTTCAATTTCGAACCCTTTCGACTCCGGCGGGCTGGCAACCCTTGCGCGATTTTCAATAACTTGTAGTGAAAGCAGCCGAACAAAAGGCGCAAAAGTTTACCGAGTTAAATTATGAGGTTGTTTCTGTTTCTGTTTCTTTATTATTTTGTATTTTTTTTTTTTATTTATTTTTTTTTTTTTTTTTTTTTGCTTTCCACTTGTTTGGCTGGGCTTTCGTTCTTATTTTTTTACCCCTTACCCATTGACAGTCTGACTTTTGACTCTCCATGGGGAATTTAACGCTGTTGTTTCGTTGCATGCATGAAAAAATATTGTGCCACAAGCAGCAAGGAGCAGGATTCGGCAGTGTATTGGTATTGACAACATTGCAGAGCTTCAACTTGGGCACAAGCTATGCTAATGCCTCCAAAGATTTCTCAAAATTGCCCGCATTGTGACCTTTTTCAAGTAACTGGCTTTACATTCAGCTTGTGTCAAAATTTGGGCGATGTTATTGCAAGGCATTAGCTTGAGATTTAGTAAAGAAAACCCATTCAATTTTAAAGCTTAAGATATTACATTTGATTTCTGTTTAAACTATAGAAAATAAAAATAATTAAGAAAATTTATACAAATTACTAATTAATATAAATAAATATTACATTTGTTTTTATCTAATAATTGAACATAACAATAAATGTTAGAAATAAAAATTAAAAAAACTGTAATAGTAAGATTGTATATATTTAAAATAAATAAAGGATAATCCAATTAATAATCGTTATACAAATTGTTTTATTTTTTTCTAAATATTTAATTCAAATTTAATCCAAATGTATGTAACAGGCAGAAGGAAGCATCTCCGACCCCATAAAGTATATATATTCCTGATCAGCATCAATAGCCGATTCGATCTAGCTATGTCCGTCTGTCTGTCTGTCCGTCCGTCCGTTCGTCCGTCCGTCCGTTTTTCCGTCCGTCCGTACGTATGAACGCAAGGATCTCGGAACATATAAGAGCTATAGACTTGAAATTTTAGATGTAGGTGCTCCTAGTGCCTGCGCAGATCGGGTTTGTTTCCGATATTCGATAACCTACTCCGTTTCCAAGCAATCGATACAAATCGATATCGATATCCTGTTTTTTGGGCAATTTTGGTAAATAATAAGAGCTAGAGTCACGAAACATGATATGTTGCTTCTAAAATATTATATATTTGTCAAGTATTTTTCATTTTATACCTATCGCCACCTCTCCGCTACCACCCCAAAGCTATAAATCAAGTTAATAACCCAACTTGTATTGCCAACTAATTTAAGCCAAAATTTAAATGCAATTGACTTTTTCAGTAAACACAAATATTCTATGATACAATAAGATATACTGTAGAAAATTTCATAAAGATCGGTTAAAAATAAACCAAAGTTATATGCAACTGCGCAGCGAGGTCGGTGCGAAAATTGAAACTTTTTCGATGATTTTTTTTTAATATCTCTTTAATAAGTAGCTCCGCGCGGAGATATGACGTTCCAAAACGACATAACTCCTTCCAAATCATCACGTTTTTTTTTTCAAAATCGAGGTCGGCGCGAAAATCTAAACTTTTCCGATAATTTTTTTTTAATATCTCGGGTAATAGCTCCACGCGGAGATATGACGTTCCAAAACGACATAACTCCGCGCGGAGATATGACGTTCCAAAACGACATAGCTCCGCGCGGAGATATGACGTTCCAAAACAACATAACTCCGCGCGGAGATATGACGTTCCAAAACGACATATCTCCGCGCGGAGATATGACGTTCCAAAACGACATAGCTCCGCGCGAAGATATGTCGTTTAGGAACGTCATATCTTCGCGCGGAGTTATGTCGTTTAGGACGTTCCAAAACGACATAACCTCCGCGCGGATATGACCTTCACGTTTTTTTTTTCAAAATCGAGGTCGGTGCGAAAATCGAAACTTTTTCGATGATTTTTTTTAATATCTCGGGTAAATAATGTCTGATTTTAAAATGTTATACCTTTTTGAATGCGTACGGATCCCTACCATCAACTGGCATCCAAGCAAATTAAACATCGTTTTGATAAGAAAAAATGTTGTAGACAAAAAACCGATTCGTTCGTAAATTCATGATTGATGATTTTTTGGAATATTTCCGTCAAATAATGTCAGATTTTGCAATTTCATACCATTTTTGACTCGTAAGGATCAGTTCTATCGATTGGCATCAAAAAAAAAGGAAATCCAAAATTTTGACTCAAATCGACAAAATGGCAAGGGGTGCGAAAATCGAAACATTTTCGATGATTATACCCTGAACTCATTAAAAATGAGTTTCGATAACTTACTCCGTTTCCAAGAAATCGATACGATATCCTGTTTTTTGGGCAATTTTGGTAAAAAATAAGAGCTAGAGTCACGAAACATGATAGGTTGCTTCTAGAATATATATATGCATTTGATGTTGGAAGAAGAGGGTTCAGGCAAAGACAATATAAACACGAAGCCTCAAAGGCCAGATGAAAGGCCAGGCTAGAAATTTTGCGTCGCAGTCAAATGTAAGGGCGTTACTCATCTTAGTGTTCATATTGTCTTTGGTTCAGGGTATCCCCTAGTCGGGAGCTCCCGACTAGAACCTCTTGTTATATATATATATATTTATTAAATATTTAAAAAATCGAAAATCAGCATTATATTCTCATTATATTAATAATATATAAATAAATATCAAAATTCCTGTCCAAATTATCTTAAAAACCACAAGGTCGGGTGGGTGGAAGAGGAATGGCACCTGTCAAAGCTGGATAATCATATTACATTAAAGATATAATGCTCTTTGTGTAAATTGAATAACATTTTGTTATATATTGAAATGATTTCAGATTTGCATATCATATGCATGGACTAGTGCACGAGCGGAGTAAAAACATAAAATTTGTTAAGAATTTCACTTGCTTTGTTCAGCACTAATATGGATAGTTGGTATGGCATATCTGGTTGATGTATCTATATTATTTATATTTCTATGTATTTGAGCGTTATGCATCAAATACAGCATTGGTGAACTGTGTGCTGCCAATGCAAAGAATCTGTCAGCCTAAGCAAGCTGCCCGGTTAAATATAAATTATATTATTTAGTCAAAAATAAAATACTTTTAAATAAATCAGAAACAGTTTAACCAGTGTTTTAATTTTGCTCGTCTGAAACATATGTGTATGACATGTAAAATCATGTTTTTGTATCCACATCAACTGCTGAAATTTGCATTATGGGCCATGTCATATAAAAGGTGGCATACATAAGGTTAGCTACAACTAGTCTAATATAGCGGGCTATTCAGTCCGAACTATTAACAACTACTAAAAAGAAATGAAGCCAATCGACCAGTCAAAGGTTCTATTGTTATTAAAATTGTTGTAGTTATTGTTGTGCTGATGATCTGCATTGCCAGCATATATACTTAGGTGGGATACATGCTTGTATACATACACGTATGGCTATTCATCCTGCCAGCGCTGCTGCTGCTGCCGTTGAAGTTGATGTTGTTGCTGCTGCGGCTGCAACAATTGTTGTCACGCTTCGTTGAACGGCGGCAGCGGCGGCGGCAGCAACAACTGTGAGGCTGATGACGACGTCGCTCTATAGGGCTGATTGAAAGATTATTTTGCACTGATAACGCTAAAAACGTATGGTTGGATGGTTGACCACAAACCACCACCACCAGCGCCAGCACCACCAGCACCACCAAGAGCAGCAGCAACAACAACAAAAGTCAAATAGAGCGAAGCAGCTCGGCGCTGCACAAAAATTGCAGTTCGAAAATTGTTGCGCTTTCGGTTTGCGTGTTTGCATTTTGCATTTAGCATTTTATATTCATTGCGTTGTCCGTTGTCGGTTGTCCATTGTCGGTTGTCGGTTGTTGGTTGTCTGCAGCGCCGTCGGGGTCATCATCAATTCGCAATGCATTTCCCACATATTCAGCGGCGTTCCGAGCGACCATCATCATTAATAATATTGAAAAGCCCTAATTACAGTTAAGTGGCCCAAACGAGTCTTATATGATGGGCACCAGGAGAAAAAGAGTGAGAGCAAGAGCGAGAGCGATAGAGCCGGGGGGAGAGTTTGGATAGGGCATGGCATAGACTGGCCTGGGCTACTACAAGACGTATTGAACTTGGTTAAAGGGTGCCAGTTCGACTTCCACTTTGACTGATCAGAAACTGAGCAACTTTAGGAGCCTGTCCCGCTCATTGCGTAAATCATTTTTCCCACCCCTGAAATAGGGCGAACGTGCTGCGTGTTTTGCCTTCACCTGCCCAAGGTGCCACAGGTTGTGCAGGTGCATGTTGCAAGTGCACAGACAGGCAGGCAGGCAGGCGGGCCCTTGCCCTGACCCAGGCACAGGCAAAGACCCCGACTGCTGATGACCCTTGAATTGCTATAATGAAATCATTTATAACTTTTCTTCCTTATGACCAATTTGTGCGTGTGTGTGCG